GTGACCAACACGTCGTTGTTATTTGCAATTGCGTTATAGTAGTTTTCTAGCACTGGGCTCTGTGTGTTGATCGAAAAAATGGAGAGGTGTATGTTGCCCACTTGGCATTGGGGCCGAACGAATCCGGAGGTGGATCATCGTGTTGTTCTAACTCTAGCGTGATGAGTGCTAATGCACACAAGGCGAAGGTTGGTAACCTTTTTTTGTAAGTTTAACCACTGTTATATGTTATTCTTGTACAGGGATCCAAAACTTTTTTTTAATTTAAGAAACAAACTAACTTTATCGCCAGAGATTCAGTCGTCGTTTAGTACTAAAAGGCAAAACTAATATACTTTTGTATAAACAGTAATTTTATTTTTTAGGTTAGGATAGACAAGCTACGTAAGGTAGCAGAAGGAGGTCTCTGTCGAAAAAACAATTCTTTGGATAATAAATATACTCCTTCTTCGCAGTTTGTTATCCTCGAGAGAGTTAAAGAAAAAGTGAGATAAAAATTTTTCTCAGGTTCTGGAGTGTTGCCGTTATTGTCATCAGAAGCTTCTCAACGTTAGTTGGCATTTTATATGTCCTAAAAAGACATTTACAGCTTGGTACTGGAAATTACGATTTATTTTTTAATAACTGCGAGCACTTTGTGACACATTGCAGATATGGAATACCTGAAAGCCAGCAGGTCAGCTTTTAAGCACATCTTGTAACACTTAGGATAACAAAATGATTATACTGTTGTAGATGTTTCAGATGGAGGAAGTGGGAGACGGGATACTTTTAGCGACAGCACTTATAGCAGCGGGAGTCGGAACTTCAGCTTTGCTATGTGGCTTAAAAAATCTTTTCTCTTAAACTACAGTAGACAGATGATACCGCTATTTATGCAGATTATTAGACTAAATTTTGAAAAATAATAAAGCTTTTTTGACGTTATAATGTGTTCAAACAGTTTCGAATAAAAAAATCACTAAAAAATTGAGACGAAGAGCATATTTTACAATGATTATATCTTTTGATTAGGGTTTCTTTTTTCATTTTCTTTTTTATTTTTTGTTTTTGTGGTAAATTTGAGCGATACAAACGAATCAGTAAAAAATATAGAAAGCAATAATTTTTTTTTTTTGAGAGTTTTGACCAAGTTGATGAAAATAGTGCACTTACTTCTCAGTGAAACAGTACAGTGTTTGAAAAGTTGTTTGAAGCTTTTTACAACGTCACTTTTGCGCTAAATTTTTGTTCGTACTCAAAATAACTGTGA